ACCCCTATCGATGAATTTCTTGAGGTGTCCGTGTTGCACCAATTGTTCGAGGAAGGATTTATAAGTCTTGCACTCCTTCGTCAAATGGCCGATATCTCTATGATACGAACATCGAAAGGCCGAATTCCTTATCGACAGAGTCTCCAATTATGCTCGAGGGCCACCTGAAGTAAGATCTGTTTTTGATTTTGGGGAGTATCCTGTGAATGGGCTCGTTGAATACCGTATTCACTCCTTGGAAGGATAGGCAAGTTGGGGGTGGAATAGACCCTCTCCTTCGGGACGACTGCTCCCTTTCCCTTTTTCTCGGAGTTGTGGCCCTGCTTTCGGGTGCAACAGACTCTTCCTCCACCCGGCATATTTGTTAATCCGAGCCATCAAGTCTTTCATGTACACCAGAGCCTTCTTGGTCAGGGATTTGTACAAGTCAGTGTCTCGGGACAGCCCCAGCCTAAACGACGCCGCGACCAATGCCTCCAAACACGCCTCCACCTCATTCATCTCATCCCACTACCGGACGACATATTGTCGGAGTGTCTCTCCCCCTTTTTGCCTAAGCGTCAGCAAAGCGCCGATGTCTTTCGGCTCCTTGCTGCTGGTGATGAATCGAGCTAGGAAAAGCTCTGTCAATTGTCTCCATGGCTCAACGCTCTCGGGAGGATGGTTCTCATACCATCTCATGCCGGTGTCCCATAGGCTCATGGAAAAAACTCGGCACAACACCCTCTGGTCAGTATCGTAGATTGACATCAATTGTCTGTACTGTCCAAGGTGGCTCTCAGGATCGATTTTCCCATCATACACTTTGAACCGTGGGATGGTAAACTTCTTCGACATCTTGACCTCCTTGATAGCCCAGACAAACGACGAGATAACTTCGTCGGAGTAGACCGCGGGCTCATGGTTGCGTTGAGCGATGAAGGGGACCTGGGGATCCTTGGTTGATCTCTCCCCTTGAGGCCTTCGGGATATGAACTCTGCTTGAGATTCGGCGGCTCCGACGCCCTCGGGTATACCTCGACATAGGTCCCACCTAGACAGGCTCGCCTTCTAGCCCGATTCCAACTTTCTCTTGGAGGCCGAGAACCTTCCTCAGTGGTCACGTCCCTCAGGCGAGTGCCTAATCCAATCCTTCTTGGAGGGCCAATGCCAGACGAGTCTGGACAGGTTCTGGCTGGGCACCTGGTCCCCGACCCCGCGGCTATGCTCACCCGCGCTTGCTAACTACTCGAAATCGTCAAGACGTTGCTAGACTTTGGTATTTTCCCTCTCGAGCTACTTAATTCATTTGCCCATCCATTTTTCTACCATCTCCACGATGTCATGGGCCCTAAGGTCATGCCCCCTAAGGCACTGATCCATAGGGAACGTTCTTTACAAAGAATGCCCCACCCCATCTGATGGGCCCAATGAACCCGGCTCCAGAACTATTGGACGCCGAACGGGCTCTACGTTCTTGGCCCATACACCTGCTCCTTCACCCTGAGATTGAGTGTTCACCATCACACGATCGCTACCGGGAAAAGTGCTTTCGTTTCCCACTGACGACACCAAATTGCACGAGATGATTCCTGCAATCGTGTGAGGCAGCGATGTCCCAACTGAAGAACCTGAAACAACAGGGTCAAAAAAAGGGGGTCAGACGTGTGCCCGGCTAATCCCTTCCGAAGCTTAAGTCAGTATAAGATCGAAGAGTTTTGCTTAGTGAACTATTTTTCTGTTTCGAGTTTGTGTACCTTTGTCCATTTTTCTGAGGAGTATTTATACCTGAATTAGCAATGATTGTCAAAGAACTCCAGTCCCATCTAGACATCTCACATCTGACACATCATTCCTCGTGCAATGAGTGTTTTCTATTCACGTCTCCTCCTATTGAATGCTAGAAAAATTGGGTAAATGCTCGGTCATGTGCCGAGCATTTATGCTACTCTCCGAGTACCTAAAATCCCCCATATCGACATCTGACATCCACTAAGTATTGAATACTCAGGGGGAACAGTTCCTCGGGAGAGTCGATCGCATCGTCTTAGCGCATCAGCCATTAATGCTTAGCCATCATGACAGTAGGTTTAGACACCCAGAGGACTCAGAGGACTGAAGAGTCACCTAGAGTTCCACCAAGTATAGTGACGAGTATAACCGTTAAATAGCATCCAAGAGAGAGAGAGAGAGAAGTCAAAAGGCAATGTGGAGTTTCACCTATAAACGTTCAAGTCTTCAAAGGACAAAAGGACTGCAGAATTGAAGTCAGCAAGATAAACAAAATTGTTTGAGGCCTTCCCTCAATTTGAACTAGGCTGGTGCTGGATAGTTACAATTCTGGGCGGGATTGGACTGCCCTGTTTAGTGCGTCCTCGTAGCTATGAAGGCAAATGGCTGTTGGCAGACCGCAAATCCGAGGTGGGTTTGTACAAAGCAGTAGGCTGCGGGGACTGGACGAATGATGGATGAGCAGGTGTAGAGTTGGACTTGGACACATGAATGATTAATGGCCTTTTGGGCCGCTAGTTGATTTTCATTGCACGATAAGAGCTGGATACTTGTTTTGATATTTTTACTTTTGCTTTAGACCCTCCACCCCAATAAACACTTTGTGAAAATTGGAAGGGAGTACATGTTTGAAGATAAGTTCTGTATAAGGGGCTAAGTTCATGTTTAAAATTATATGTAATGATTAAAGTCTACTTTTTTTTTTAATCTCAAAAATACCCTTCCTTGAAAGGAAATTAATTTTTGTCTCTCTTATATCTATCTATATCCATATATAGATTAAGAATTTGACTAACATTAAATTTTTTTCTCTCCCTTATCTATCTATATCCGTATATATATAGTAACATTCAAATACAAAAAAAAAATTACTATAAATTTAAATTCATGTTATTATTATTTTTTTTATTATTTTATTGTTAATGTTACTATTTTTGTTGAGTATGTTATTGTTCATGTTACTATTATTTTAAGCATGTTACTGTTTTTATTGAGTATGTTACTATTATTATTTTCTTAAATATTAATATTCAATGTTACTATTTTTTTTTAATATTACTATTTTTTATATTTGAATGGTACTATTTTTTGCATTTAAATTTGAAAGAAATAATTATTGTTAAGTATGTTACAGTTTTTGTTCAGCATGCTACTATTTTTGTTGAACATATTAATATTTTTATTGAACATGTTACTTTTGTTATTTTTTAAAAATATTAATATTGAATGTTTCAATTTTTTTTATATTTAAATGTTACTATTTTTTTTGTGTTTAAATATATTATTTTTTATGTCTAAATGACAACTTTTTTTTTTTGTATTTGAATATTACTATTTTTTATTTTTAATGTTACTATATATATACCTAACCTATATATGAATATAAATAGATAAGAGAGAGAAAAAAAAATTTTAATATTAGACAAACTCTTAGCCTATATATGGATATAGATAGATATGAGAGAGAAAATATTTTAATGTTACTCAAACTCCTAAGATTTAGAAGTTTTTAATTTTTCGTTTTATTTCATTTTTAAAGGGAAATTGATAGTATGATAAAATTGATAAAAAAATAGATTTCATATCAAATAAATTTTTTTGACGGACTTAAGTCCAAACAAGTCCATATAAGAGGATTGACCTCCAATTTTCCCTAAACACTTTGCAAAGCCCAGACCCAACACAGATCTTGAGATGCAAAAAGGCATGGTTACTTCTTTTGACAAGAAAATCAAGTGTAATTAGGAGTGAGGAAGAAGATCCACATGAAAAATCTATAAAATAATATAGTTAGATTTTTGAATTTATGGGGATATATTTTTTCTCCAAAATTTCACACACTCTTCACCCTCCCCCCAAAAAAAAAATTCACAAATTCAACACACGCTCCACAACACATAGTTGTACACACATTTCAATACACACGCATTATATACACAATCCAATTGTACACATACTTCAATATACGAACAATGTCATAGTTCAATATATAGTGACTTTAATCACGGAATATCGCTAATAATATTAATGTAACATGCAATGAAAGCGGGCCCGTAAGGGTATATGGAGAAACCCATGATAAATCGTATATCAAACTTTTTTCACGGTATCAATAATTAATGCCAAGTCCTACCATATACATCTCTCTAGTGGGAGTGAATTTATTAATGGTTGAAAGAGAAACGTGAAAAGTTTCTTTTTGGAGGTAAATGAAAACAGAAAAAATTAAAATATATAGAACAATACTTGGATATGCTTTATTGATTTAGTTTTTTAACTTAATTATTTATAATCATTAGATTGACAAAAAACCTTAATATTTATCTACTAAGGTTAGGATTTTAGATTTTTATGACCCAATTCGAGTGAGTGAATTCAGATTCAACAGGAATTTCGGTCCAATTAGTTAATGTTATTGAAACATAATTTGAGTAGATAATTTAAAAACTTAATAATTGTGACTATTTAATTGTCAATAAATTCCAGCATTAAAATCAGCCAATTTTAAGGTACAGTTTTGTTAACTCCTTTGTTTGTAGTTAGTTTTTTTGTTTATCACCTTTTTCAACAAAAAAAAACCAAACAAATTTCTATAGAAGCAAAAAACTCTTCTTTTTTACTCGAATTCGCTGTCTTGTTGGTATAACGGCTTGACATATTAAAAGTAGAGTTCATGAAATCTGAGTACCTATTTGCTAATTAATGGTTCATGTGCCTGTATGACTTGGCCAAACTCCAAGTGCAACATATAGCTGCAGTTCAATGTCCATAATGGGATTGTGGTCCCTTCATCTCCTAGTTGCAAGCCTGCCAGCGCTCTACCTCTCTCATCCTTTTCTGACAGCTAAAAGGAGAACTTTTTGGCAAGTTGTATCAATGGAATAAGGATAAAATCAGTATACATTCGCAATCAAAATTCATATATATATATATATATGTTACAAGTTACAGCACATAAAACAATTACAAATTCAAATAATTTTTCTTCAAACTTGGGAGAAATTTCTGGGTACTGACTGCTGAACCATTTGCACAAATAGATCGTATAACAAGAACGCCAATTCTACAACATATGAGAGGACAGAGTTTATCAAAACATGGACTTGTCAATAAAGAAAGTTGATCTTAACTCATAATGAGGTTATTGGATCGAACGGGACACTTTTGTTTCAGCAGTATCCTTAACTGAGCCTTTTGACATTCCAACTTGGTACCCCAATGCCTACTCTTGGATCCGATTGCTCGAACCACTTTGGGAAATTCAACAAACCCCTTGATCCCTCGTCTGATATGAGGATTTTCAGGCTCTGTGGAGGCTCTTCTCTGAATTGCCACAGAATGAGCAATGCCATTGTTATCACTGTCAAAAGCTGGCTTCTCACTCAATACAGTAAACCTTGTTATTGTTATTGGTTCACCAGAAGAATTGTCAGCAGTTATAATTCGCTGCAGGTTGCCTTCTTGGTTCTTGTCTTCCATCTTGGAGCTTGATGACTCGAATTGCATTCGTTTTGTAGCCTCCAATTCTAACAACTTCTCTTCCAACAAAAGCTTTGCCTCAGCGAGCTTCATTTGGACTCTCTCCTCCCTTAACACCTCAGCCATACGTAACATCTTCCTCTCTTCCTCCATCTCTTTTTTCATCCGATTGATCTCTGTTTTATTTGATGATATCTCCTTAGCAAGGTCTTCACATACTCGTTCCAAGGCCTCCCTACCCCTTTTCTCCTCAGAGACATCTTTCATCAGCCTCTTGTTCATGGATTCCATTTTCTTACGAGACTTACGTTCATATTCGAGCTCGGCCTTCAGTTCAATGATCTGGGCTCTAGCCATTTCTAGCTCAGACACCATGAAGGGCCTGATAAAGGTAAGATCCCAGAAAGAAGCTGCGATCTTACGTGCTGATATAGGGAGGTGAAGACGATGAATTTGCTTCTGGCTATGATTTTCTTGTTGTTGTTGGACTACTTGTTTTTGTTGTTGTTGTTGAGAAATATAAAATGGGTTCTCGTACAGCTTCCAGGTTGGGCAAGTGGAAGTGGTGATGGGTTTATCGGCAATGGACTCATTTCTGGGATTTTCTGGGCTTCGGATCATCATCATCATCATCTCTTCCATTAGGCTTGCTTTTCTTGCTTGGTTCTGCTTTCTATATGCGCCTTTTCTATGGAAGAAACTTTTCTTTTGCTTTTGCTTTTGCTTTTGTGTTTTCTAATTGGCGTAGGCCCATTCAATGACATTGTCTAAGTTGCTTTGAAGATTAGGATTGTAAAAGGTGAAGATGCATCACATGCACCTCTTTGTATTTATTAACTATGGCGGATGGTGGAGGTGGCCGGTAGTCTCAGTCTGTCCATGATCGGTCTACATCTCTCACTGTCTTTCTCTCTCTCCCTAAGTATATATTGATGTAATTATAAACAATCAAATACTACATGAACCTAAGAAAATCCTATTTGGACTTAATTTGGGTATCTAACGAGACCTAGTATATTGTATGCATTTGTACCTTAAATGTTGACTTGATTTGCTGATATAATGAATCACAATCATTAAATTGAATTGATAATGAATTCTAATAAATACTGAGACTTACAATTAAATCAATGAAAATGATTAATAAGATCAACAAATCATGTTGTCAGCAAATTATGTCAGCATTTTAGGTTCAAGTAACATGACTTATACATTAATTATGAAAAAAATACTTTTTTTTTTATTGCAGAGTATCCAAACTTGTGCCGACTAGTTTCTCAAAAATACATTTGTGCTAACTACTTTCTTGAGCTTAGCGCTATGACTTGAGCTGATCTAGAGCACGTCCCCAAATACATTTTTTTTGTGCATACTACTTGCTCAAGCTTAACGGTTGACTACTGTGACTTAAGTTGATCTAGAGCATGTCCCCAAAAAATATAAGAGTGGCTAGTCCTTAGGAGATGTCGGAAGGAATTGAACCTAAAACCTTTGAATTACCAAAGGACAAGCCCAACCACTGAACCACACTTAAGAGTTAAAAAAAAAATATTAATTATAAATTTCAATATTTGATAAAGCATCACACTTTCAATTTAATAGCTCTAATTGACTAGATCCTCGTAACATTTTTCTTTATAAATATATATTCTATATACATACAATGAGTCATTCAGACCTAATTGGGGTACCTAAGAAAAACCTAATACATTGTATGCATTAAATTACTTGTGAATTACGATGTTTAATAAAACACACTTCCAGTCTAATAGTTTGATTAGCTCCCAAAATTAAATCCACATCAACTACTTGGTGTTTGATGATACCTCGAATACTCCTAAAGGTGAGCTCGATAACGCAAGTCATGCACCCTTAGGTCAGGAGCTCAGTTCATTTAAGTTGCCCATAGACCTTGGTGTCAAACCTTTAGCTCCCTGCATCTACATCTCAAGAAACGCAGCATAAAAAATAGCTAACCCCCACCAAGCATTACCACAATAATGATAACGATAATCACTTATCTAGGCAGAAGGTTCGTAACTGTCATAACACTTATCGCAATCGTAATCTAATAAAAGCAACCATTACGAGAGAAGAAAGGATCTCGCCGAAGAACAAGAGAAGTGCAGGATCAACTATAAATGGGGGACATGACCCCTAATAGGAAAGAGAGGCAATCTTAGCTTACTCAAACACTCATTGTAAAATCCTCTTTTTATCAATATATTTTTTAGGAATAAGAGACTCATTTGAAAGTGGATTAACCAACCTCCCGAATTGAAAAACCACTATAAACCTACTGGGTGATCATCCCATCCCCGATTCCAATTCTCAAAAAACCTAGGAGTTCATAATGAGTCATTCAGTGTACATTGAATCTCCAATATTGCTCTATCGTGTTATATACATTTTCAATGTTTCTTACACAAACTTTTGAAAATAATACCAGTAGATTAAAAAAATAAAAAACATTAATCTCCACGCCGTAAAGTTTCAAAGTTGCAATATTATTTCATGAAGTAACAGAATCATTGTCCTAACATGGGGATATTATTTCCCCTTAAGTTAATGAAATAACACTCATTATTAATACATAAAGGAGGGTCTGGAAGTGTTTGATGTTTTCTCAAAAGGGGAAAATGTGAAAGTATCTTTGAGATCTGCCAATGACAATTGTGGTTCAATTTTTTCATATAGCCGTAGAAAATTGTCCCCTTTTAAGTTCAAAGTGGACTGGTAAATTACTTTCTCTACCATCCACAAGATTAGACCCTTTTATATTAAAAGGAAAAAGGGACCAATCCGTACAACCACTTGATTATTGCTGGTTTAATTAAGGGCAGGAAAACAACATTAACCTTCTCCATTCTCTTCTTGGATATACATATATCCCTTTCAGACACCTTGTAATGTTCCTACCACCATCGTTATGGCCCCCCAAAATGTTTTTTGGAAGATAAGGGTCCACTACATTTTGCAGTTCAAATCAATCATTTATCACCAACATAGCATGTTAATGTATGGCTATACAAGAAGGAGGCAACCACGTTAATGCACTGCAAGGACAATGATTTCTCTTGTTTTACTGTGATATAAATATTTACTTTCTATTCTATCTGGGTCATACATAGACCGGATCTATGTGCAAGTAGAAAGAAAGAAACAAACAAAAAATAGAAGATCAGTGAAGGGTTTAGAAAATGAGAACGGAAAAAAGACACACAAGCCAAAATAGAGACCCCAACAAGCCAACAATTCCCTATTCATTCCATAGGATCCACATGGATGGTCACCTTATCTGTTCTTCCCAGGACACAATCACTAATACTATAAGGAGATAACCATTGGGGATACCACCACCACAAAAGCTTGCACTTGCCAGGAAATCAGATCTGTGATACTTCCGAATAAGTTTTGGATGCAAAGGGAAATGTAATGCATGCACACGTATAGGTATTGCGGATCACTGGGCTGGACCAAACGGTCGGTCACATGCCGAGTTCCACATAAAATTAATGATAGTTGCTTTGTTGGTGCTAGGGCAAAATTTAGTTACTGTAAAAACACACAGACAGCTAGCTAGCTTCCATAGGGTTTTCAATAACTTGAAGGCAATAATGTACATGCATATCTTCAACTTCAAGTCGAGAGAATAAGCAACAGACAGAGCCGTTGATGCTAGACGGTACCTACAAGTTATACAGGGAAGTCCTGAAAAACATTTGATGGATATCTTGAAGAAGTAGATGCCCAATTAATTAAGTATTACGCAATCAGGAAGGAAACTAGCACTGTCTGCATAATTACGTAACTTAAACCACCTGCACGTGAAGCATTGCAATATTGCTGGCTTTAGCTGCATCCCGCAATTATTAAGGGAAAGAACTAGCTATCCTTTTAGACAAGACCCTACCCACTAGGCACCCATTATCAAATGCAATCTTGGTGGTACTACTACTGCCACTACGGTCCCTTTTTTTGGTTGGCAATGTATTTCAAGCCCAAAAGGGATGAAGCATTATATATTTGAAGTCGAGTGTTTCCAAAATCAATAGATGAAGCATCCTTACAGACACAAGTTGAGCAACCCATGGCCACACTAGAAAGTACAGATTGAAACTATTGCTTCCAACAGAGACCGGTCACAATAAACCACGTATTATAGTTTTGGGGGCAATAAAATATGATTCACTTATGATATAGTTTTTCGAAAGTGTGCCCAACAAGCATGCAATGAATACATACATATAATTTACCTAACTGCTGGACCATCATATTGATTCCAGTCGGTAGCTTTGAGTTATGCATTAAAAGTTAACAAGAATGCAGTTACACAGCTTTATCCATGCATCTACAGAACGGGCAGAGACAATATCACAGCCCGGTTTAAATTTCAATTGGTGAGGATTAATCCGGTCACACCTTAATATATTTGAGGATTATACTCGAAAAATAACAATGCGTGGGCATTTTCAGCTTTGGCTAATGATTATCTAGGCAAAAGCAGGCGGTAGATTAGCATTTCTGAACTGAAGCAAAATAAGCCAATACATGCATACAAATGAAGACTACCCGAAATAGCAGACAGCCTAGTGACTACAAGAAATTCATGCAAAAATCCACAAGCCAGAGTAAAGATGATAAGAAGTCTACCAAAATGGTTTAGTCAATATGCAAACTACCATTGTCACACCATTCAAGTGTAAGGTTTAATAATAAAAGACATTAGATAATAGTATATCCAAATGTGCAACAAGGACAGCTTGAAGATTAAGCTTATATATTTAAAGGCAGCGAATATTTAGGTATATAGTGCTACTATTGTGAGCAATGGTTATATTAGAGCAATCATAAGCAGCTAGTAAGTATCAACAATTGCATTCGATATAGAAAATCCCAACAAGAGAAACGTATTACATGACTACAAATGGAAACTTATACACAAGCACATATAGAAATTAAAATAGAATATCAAATATGCCAAAAAAAAGGATGTTCCTCACAGCAGGGGGTGGACTATGATACCAGGGAGCACCAGTTTCAGAAAATAGTTCTGTAAGTTCAGATGAGAATGCAAGAAACCTACAGGATTGTTATGATGTCCAAAAAACAAAAACAAAAACAAAATATAGGTATAGAAATTGCAGAATAAATATAAGTAACTTTTCTCCAGTCAGAGGAACATGATGCAGATTTTAGTAGCTTTGATACCAAATTGATGTAGATTAAGAAAGAAGGAAATTAGGAGATGAGAATGAAGGGAAGAGAAGAATAAGAAGAAAGGACATGAGAATAAGGATTAAAGAGAGCAGAACAAGAAATTCAGAGATACCAATCTCAATATTCGATTAATAATTCCAGTTTGCAAAAATAATTACAATAGCCTCTTTATATAGGGATACCAAAGTCATAAATGAAGATTCCTAACCTAATTCTAGCACTAAATAGACAAATACCAACAAATACTCAAAAAACAAAATGCATCCGAAAATAGATCCACAATATTTTTCTAACCTCAACATGATCCCCATCAGGATAACTCACCCAAAAGTACTCATTCTTCCTGCCATTTCGATAAGTGCTCCGACACTCAAGCTTATGGTCGCAAAATATGGATAAGAAACATTGCGAAGAACAATCTA